GTCCATCCCAGTCCATTCCCAGTCCATCCCAATCCCCTCCCAGTCCATCCCAGTTTGATCCCAGTCCCTCCCAGTGCTCCCAGTTTGACCCCAGTTCCCCCCGCAGGAGGAAGAAGCTGCGGTTCCACCCTCGGCAGCTCTACCTGAGCGTGAAGCAGGGAGAGCTGGGCAGAGTCATCCTGATGCTGTGTGAGAAAAACACCCCAAAACACCCCAAAAATACCCAAAAATACCCCAAAAATATCCCAAAAATATCCTGAAATTATCACCAAAATATCCCGAAAGTATCCTCAAAAATATCCCAAAAAATATCCCAAAATCACCCCAAAAATATCCCAAAATCACCCCAAAATCACATCAAAAATATTCCAAAAATCACCCCAAAACCACCACCAAAATATCCATAAAATCACCCCAAAAATATTCATAAAATCACCCAAAAAAAATCCCAAAAATACCCAAAATAACAGGGAGAGCTGGGCAGAGTCATCCTGATGCTGTGTGAGAAAAAACACCCCAAAACACCCTGAAAACACCCCAAAAACACCCCAAAATACCCCAAAAACACCCCAAAAATATCCTCAAAAATATCCCCAAAGCCTCCTCAAAAATACCACAAAATACGCCCAAAATACCCCAAAACCACCCCAAAATCACCCAAGAAATATCCCAAAAACACCCCCAAAAAAATCCTAAAAATATCACAAAAAATATCCCAAAAATAGCCCAAAAAAAAATCCCAAAAAATACCCCATTTTGAGGTCCCAATCCCATTTCGAGGTCCTGATCCCATTTTTTAGGTTTTTCACCCCATTTTTGGGGGTCCCCTCCCCTTTTTTCAAGGTCTTGATCCCATTTTTAATGTTTCTCACCCCATTTTTGGGGCGCTGACCCCATTTTTTATGTTTTTCACCCCATTTTGGGGGTCCCCTCCCCGTTTTCGGGGTGTTGACCCCATTTTTGAGGTTCCCAATCCCATTTTTTCGGTTTCTCACCCCATTTCGGGGCGCTGACCCCATTTTTTCAGTTTTTCACCCCATTTCGGGGCGCTGACCCCATTTTTTTGGTTTTTTGCCCCATTTTCGAGGCGCTGACCCCATTTTTTCATTTTTTCACCCCATTTTCGGGGCGCTGACCCCTCCCCCTCTCTCCCCAGTGGACAACCTGGACCCCAATTTCCAGAGCGACGCCCAAAGCAAACGCTCGGCGCTGCACGCGGCAGCTCAGAAGGGACACCTGGAGATCTGTCACCTCCTGCTGCAGGTGGGGACATTGGGGACAATCCCAGTGACACCTGGGGACAATCCCAGTACATCCCAGTATAGACCAGTATAACCCAGTACAGCCCAAAGCAAACGCTCGGCGCTGCACGCGGCGGCTCAGAAGGGACACCTGGAGATCTGTCACCTCCTGCTGCAGGTGGGGACACTGGGGACAATCCCAGTACATCCCAGTGACATCCCAGTATAG